AGGTGTTGGTGATCTCTGGGTATGTGGATCTGGTGTTGGAGATCTCTGAGTATCGGGATCTGGTGTTGGAGATCTCTGAGTATCGGGATCTGTTGTTGGAGATCTATGTGTATGGTGATCTGGTGTTGGAGATCTCGGTGTATTGGGATCTGGTGTTGGAGATCTTGGTGTATCAGGATCTGGTGTTGGAGATCTCGGTGTATCGGGACCTGGTGTTGGAGATCTCGGTGTATTGTGATCTGTTGTTGGAGATCTCGGTGTATTGTGATCTGGTGTTGGAGATCTCGGTGTATAGTGATCTGGTGTTGGAGATCTCTGAGTATCGGGATCTGGTGTTGGAGATCTCTGAGTATCGGGATCTGGTGTTGGAGATCTCTGAGTATTGGGATCTGGTGTTGGAGATCTTTGTGTATTGGAATCTGGTGTTGGAGATCTCTGTGTATTGGGATCTGGTGTTGGAGATCTCTGTGTATCGGGATCTGGTGTTTGAGATCTATGAGTATCGGGATCTGGTGTTGGAGATCTCTGTGTATTGGGATCTGGTGTTGGAGATCTCTGTGTATTGGAATCTGGTGTTGGAGATCTCGGTGTATCGGGATCTGGTGTTGGAGATCTTGGTGTATCAGGATCTGGTGTTGGAGATCTCGGGGTATTGGGATCTGGTGTTGGAGATCTCGGTGTATTGGGATCTGGTGTTGGAGATCTCGGTGTATCGGGATCTGGTGTTGGAGATCTCTGAGTATTGGGATCTGGTGTTGGAGATCTCTGAGTATTGGGATCTGGTGTTGGAGATCTCTGAGTATTGGGATCTGGTGTTGGAGATCTCTGAGTATTGGGATCTGTATATAACAGTAATCTGTTCTTTGATTGGTAGGTCTGTTGGAGACGTTGGCCTGCGGCCACTTCCGAGCGTTCCTCTATTACACGCACAGCATCCCATCCCCCGGCGGCCTCCTCGGCTACCCCTGTGACAGCTACGAGAACTTCTCCTCGGTAAGTGGGATTGCGCCGTCCTATACCATGGGGCCGGAGGGCAGAGAATGAATACATTGCCGAAGCAGCCAATCAGAATTCAGCGTTCATTATATGGAAGAATTAAACAAGAACTCTGATTGGTTGTTATAGACGGAATCTCTAACATTGGGTGAGTTCTCATTTCTCCTATCCTCCAGATGTGGCACTGTCCCGACTGGGCGGCATATTCGGCCTGTGATGTCATTTCCTGTGATGTCATATTGTAATAATTTACTGTTGTGTCTTCTCTCCCCCCTCCCCCAGGGCTCTTGCTTCCCCTGCCCCCTCCAGAAATGCCCCACTATGGGGCATCACTCAGAAGAGTATTACAACATCACAGAACAGAAGAGGA